GGCGACGATGTTGAGAAGATCTGGAAACAACGCTTTACGGGTGCCACAGTCCTCTGGTTTCTGGTCAGTCCGCGAATTCCAGCGATCAGTTAAGTGTCTGCACTGACGTGGAGCGGATTCAACGGCACCAGAATCGCTATCTGTCGCCATTGGGTTACATTATTGTGACTGTCGGTATGTAGACGCCGGCCGCAACGCACCTCAAGCGATGGTCCCTGCGGTCTGACAACTTCATTGGGCAGCGTTCCACGATCCTAATTGGTCTAAGTCGAGGTGTGAACGTTACGTTCTGTTCCCCGAGATTCTCAAGGTTTTCACTGCAACTGTGGTCGGAGGTAAGCCCAAACCATTTCGTCACCCGCATGAGAATGTCCTCCTCAGAGACGACAGTCATTTTCATCTTACGTTTGTACTCCATATATGCGAAAAGAACCTTCATTTTGTACGGATTTGGAGTTCTGCTCCTCGCAGAGCTCGCTACGAAGATCGTGCGTACCGTTTTGCCATCATCTCGCCCCTTCTAATCACGCGTTCGCAACAGTGGGCATTCAGTGATGGGACCATGCTCGTACTCCCTCCAGGTAAAACATACTGATGGCTGTCATTCCGCGTACGGTAACTGAACGTGACCCATCATCAGGGTTCGTTGCATGCGTACTCACCGGGAAGTCCGCTCCGTGAGTAGCTTTACGACAGGATTTCAGCTTGCGACGTCGTGGCTGCTCTATCCTATCCTATATCGTCGACCTGTGCTAAACGAGGCCCACCTGCACAGCGGTGACCGGCTGTTCTATACCTGGGTGGCTGAGCTCGTGTTTGGTGACATGCCCAACAATAAGGCTCATATGAGTTCTCTCTGACAGTTTCGGTACACAGACTCTGTGGTGTTCTTCGCGACACTCTATCGGACGATCACACTCTATCGGCGTACAGTGATCGGTGATGCACAGTCCCTCATTACCATCATAATGCGCGATGGTAAGTTTACGTTTTGTCCTGCATTCCGGACCATCGAGCATCCAAACTGGCGACTTGGCTCTTGTCTGCAGGAATCATGTACTTTACGGCGATCTTCGCGTCCAATCTCGTTACGGTCCTGATTTTCATCGTACGTCTTGTATATCCTTTCCAATCTATGTAAACTCTGTACTTACGGGCTGTCCTCTCCCTTTTGCTTCGGACAGTTTGCCGTGGTGCGTCCAGGAGCCGCAAACAGCCTCCAGCGGCGACTGCGGCATATTCTGAGTCCTAACATATTCGACAGGACGACCTCAAGGTTATCAACGCCACCTTCAGTAATCTGTATATCTGCCGCGCATCTCGTCCTCATCTCCTTCCTAACTGTCCATATGGCACAGGATCACGAGCCTTATGGTGTCACGACTCATGCTCAATCTGCGCTCGGAGGTCATCCGGTGTGGACCTGTCGTGCGCAGCATCTCGAGCAGCGGTCGTCGCGGTGGCGGCGGCCTTGCGTTCGAGTCGCACCGGATGACGGCCACAACGACATCGACGATTAATGCGGCAATAGAGACCTTACCAGGCAAGGCGACCCTTGAGGCGACCATCATTGGCAACCTCGGGGCGCCTGTCATGACTTTCGAGCACGAGGGGTATGAGCATGAGTACGATCTCTACCAGGAGCAGAACGATGCGACTAGGCGTGGAGACCAAGACAGTCGTGAATTTCCCGAAGACTCCGTCGAGTATGGATATGCACTCGCGGACCTCGGCACGGAAGGCGGCACGTCCCTTATGAGGGAGCCTGGCGGACCCTCTCTCGACAACAAGTCGAGGCTCACGCCGTCACGCACCCAGACGCACCTGCTCCCGCAGCTTTTGGGCTTACGACGCATACCTTCTGCTGAACGGCGCGAAAGCATCGATGGCGGCTCCGCGGACCACACGCGGTCGCCCCCCGCCCAGCTCGTTGTCCAAGTCACGGAAGAGGTCGTCGTGGCGGACGAGTCCCCAAACACCGCACGTCCGCGCAGGCCGTTGTCATTTCTGTCCTCCCCGCCCCCGTCTTCGCCCGCGGCGATCCCTCGGCGCACCTTGTCACTGTCCTCTCCCTCTGTCCCGTCCTCGACGATCCCGAGCAACGCTTTTAGACCCTCAGAGGTCCAGTCGGCCACTGTACCGCGACCTCCGGCTCGACCGTTGCGGTCGGCCCAAGCTCTACGATGGATCCCACCTACGTCGTGGCGCCTGGGCTCCGATCGGGACCGGCAGACGATGCAGCCCAACGAGGGTTGTACCTGACAGCCTCATAGAGGCAGATGCTGTAGTTATAGAGTTTGCGGTAGATGGCTGCGTGTAGATGCTAGGCGTAGTGTGTCGCAAGGAGGGTCTGATCTTGCCGTACAGTTAGAAATGCCTTCAAGACGACGTCCTGTGCATATCGACGTGTCCAGGTAAGTCCATGATTTGTAAGGGGCATTTACAACGACTGGGGAGGCCTTGCCCCGAATCTGCCGGACTGGTGGGCACTTGGACGGCCTGCCCTGGCTGACGTGTGAACCTCAGACGCAACGCGACGCGGTTTTGCGCATCTGTAGTCACCCGCATCGACGCGGTCGAGGGCGGTGATGCGTTGGTGGACGATGTTCGCGAGGGCGGCGGGGCGTCTCGTCTGTCTTGACGCAGACGTAGCGCAGCACAATGAGCTCGTCCGCCAGGTGCCGCGTGAACAACATCGTGCATTGATACAATGCGGGAGTAAGCATTGGCGATCGCGTTGCAGACGAACCGGGAGAGAGAGGTTCGTCGTGCTAATCGGCCTCGTCGTCTGGCGGAGCGTGCACGAAGGGGACCAAGGTGCGGTCTCACCGGAATGTGAGGGCGGTGAGCGTGCTCGAGAGCGGCTTGGCCATCGCGAATAGTTTTCTCTGTGTGGCGCAATGAGAATGTCAGCATCTGGAGCGAGGTCCTCGCCGCAGATCAAGGAACAGAGAAAGGGAACGTGAGGGACAGAACTGTCGATATCAGACGACTATAGTAATGCGAACACTTCCAGCATGCAAACCATGCATCCGCTGTATAACTTAGCGGGCCCACTGGCTCATATGGACGGATTTTGTGACATGCTGGATGTAAGTTGAATGCATATGATGATTAATCGCGGAGGCGGATACGCTCCATAGATGCTGATAGGTAAACATGAACGAGGATCGGAATGAGAAAGCGCCATCGGTATCGGATCCTCTTTATCGTCGGCCTGAAAGGGCGGGGACACACACCTTGACAAAACAAGCCGAACTGTTCAACTAAGCAGTGTCAAGGAATGAGCACTGACGAGGTGCTTAGTGAGTCGTACCTCGCGCTCCTCTCGCCATGTCACACTTGGCGAGCAGGGGGAAGCTCGGTCACGCCAACTGTCACGCAATCCTGTCGTTGATTTTTGCCAGTACTACCGTACTAGTAGTGGGTGCCTCCGTAGCTTGCTCACTCCCTCACACGGCTGGCCATTCATAACGTACTTGATTAATGCGAGCCATCAAATAAGAAGATCCATTGAGAGGATCTGAGAGGTCAGGATCCTATTGGGAGGATCTCCCCGAAACCTCCTCTTTCCCCTCCCTCTCAACGTACTCGCTTACATTATGGATGTGGCTGGAGGAACACAAAATCGGTTGCTTTATGCCATCCTCGGGGTGATAACGGATGCGCTTGATACCATCCTAACCTTTGTTTCACCACCCAAGAGACAACAAAGGAGTGGTAGATAAATTTGCTCGGTTTGTTAGCCAAATCATGTGCTGATACGGTGCTCTGTATGGTATCCAGTCATCAGACGTAGACCAGCTGAGCGACGAGGAGATCGTCGAGCTTGAGAAAGGCGCTACGAGATTGCACCCAGACTGCGCCGTTGCCAAACTGACACCCAAAACTATCGGAAAGCTTTCCCAAGACTTGGTAGACGATGCTGCAGATGCCTCTGAAGCAAACGCCCTCGATGTTGTCTTCGCACAGACGGCCATCCCCGTCCCTCGCGTACGCCGTGTCGTGAAGCTCAGATGGAAATTCATGATCATCACGGACTACATCAAAGGCCCTACGCTTGCCGATATCTGGTCCACTCTGTCGATGTGGCGGAAACTCTTCATTGCCTTCACATTGCGCCGCTACGTCCGCCAGCTACGTCGGGTGAAGGCATTTTCTACGACGCCGCCGGGTCCGCTGAGTGCGCATGGGCCTTTCATATGCGAGTCACCCGTGTTCGGCCAGGCGCGGTCTCAGCGCGGTCCGTTTTCCTCCTATTCTGAGCTGTCGGCATTTTTCAACCAACGTCTCTGCATGACTCTGGACTCTCAGACGGTGCCCAAGGATGATCCTTCACGGAAGGACCTATTCAATGATTCCGGATCTCTCGTCATGACAAATCAGGACCTCAACCTTCGGAACATCATTGTTGACGATGGTCATCGCTGGATCATCGACAGGGCGTGGGCAGGGTGCTATCCGCCATGGTTCGAGTATGTGGCAATGCAGCAGAATGAAGACGAGAGAATTAGTGGGACAAGCGATGCACTTTGGAGAGCACTGATTCCCTTTATTTGTGGACCATACTACAGGCAAGAAAGGTGGTTGTGGGACATAGGACTCGCATTGTCCTATAAATGAGCGGATCCAACATGCACGGCAGGCAAGGGGCGGAGACCCCCCGGGGCTATGTGCGTGGGATAGCGGCAACGGGCGTTTAACTAGCGCGCGGCTATTGCATGTCCGTAACAGGCTGCGTTAGTTAAAATATACACCGGGCGTTGTCCATATATGGAGATATCCGAAAGGTAAACTTGCGCATGGCCATATGAACCCGTGCCATAGCCTGTTCATAGTCTACATATAACACGCCTAGGGTACAATGTCACAACCCCTATTGCCCAGTTGACTGTATATTACAATGTTAATCTCTTCGCCGATATTTATTTCTTAACCTGTAAGGAAAATAGGGTACTGAGAAACGCTGCAGAGCCCAACCTGTTGAACATGGAAAATACTGATCAGACCGGGGATCGAACCCAGGTCATCCCATATACGCTGGGAGGTGTTATCAACTACACCACCGAACCGATACTAGGGTGTGAATTCATTTTAATGTGACCCTGCAATCACTGTGAGTGTTCTTCAGCAACAACATTGCCAGCCTGACCTATCCCGCACACGGTCACACCCGACCCCACCTCGCCGCACACGGTCACACCCAACCCCACCTCGCCGTGCACTGTCACACTTCCTGCCACCACCACCTTCTTGTGCACAGTCACACCACCCTCGCTGCACACTGTCCAGTGTGACAGTGCATGGTGAGGTGGGGTCAGGCGGCATGACCGTGCGTGAGAAGGTGGCAGGAAGTGTGACGGTGCGCGGTGAGGTTGGGTTGGGTGTGACCGTGCGTGAGGAGGTGGCAGGAAGTGTGACGGTGCGCGGCGAGGTTGGGTTGGGTGTGACCATGCGTGAGGAGGTGGGATCGGGTGGTGTGACCGTGCGTGAGAAGGTGGCAGGAAGTGTGACGGTGCGCGGCGAGGTGGGGTCGGGTGTGACGGTGCGCGGCGAGGTTGGGTTGGGTGTGACCGTGCGTGAGAAGGTGGCAGGAAGTGTGACGGTACGTGGTGAGGTGGGGTTGGGTGTGACCGTGTGCGGCGAGGTGGGGTCGGGTGTGACGGTGCGCGGCGAGGTTGGGTTGGGTGTGACCGTGCGTGAGGAGGTGGGATCGGGTGGCGTGACCGTGCGTGAGAAGGTGGCAGGAAGTGTGACCGGGCTCTGCAGTGTTTCTCAGTACCCCATTTTCCTTACAGATTTAGAAATAAATATCGGCGAACAGATTAACATTGTAATATATATTCAACTGGGCAATAGGGGCTGTGACATTGTACCCTAGGCATGTTATATGTAGACTATGAACAGGCTATCGCACGGATTCATATGGCCATGCGCAAGTTTATTTTTCGAATATCACCATATATGGACAACGCCCGGGGTATATTTTAATTTACGCAGCCTGTTATGGGCGTGCGATAGCCGCGCGCTAGTTAATCGCCCGTTGCCGCTATCCCATGCACATAGCCCCGGGGGGTCTCCGCCCCTTGCCTGCCGTGATGGGGCTCATAATCTTGTGTAAACATTTGAGACGGGATACGTATGCGAATGCCATTTTAGTACATAAAAGCCACGAAAGTAGTGCAGATACGGGACCATGTCGGAAACATTGGACACCAGGCTCATCGGGCACCCACAACTGGGGGATTAGCACGAGCCTTCCTCACAGTCTTCAGAAAGCTTTTCACGGCCCCCGCAGGTAAAAGCCCTCTGTCGGCAATGGCAGACTTGTACCATGCTCGTTAAACATGATCAGGAGCACATATCCCAACCATCAACTTTCTACGCCTTCGTAATGCAAACTCAGGCGGCCGCCTCCGCTTTCTGCTCATAGCATGTGGTCCCGTCTTGATGCAGCCGCGGTGTTCCCCTTGCGGCTCAAATCTGATGGCAGATAGTCTACGGTGCTGGTCCACTAGCTGAAGCGGTTCCGAGCTCTGAATTCTCCTTTCCAGATGCTGTCCACCCGCTCCCAAAATACGGGGTTCTATGTCGCCCGGCAGACGAATCTGATTGCTCTTCCAAGTGCACGACGCCCTGATGCTGTTGGACTGACGACCACTCGACAATCAACATCTTACTGTTCAACACCTTCACGGCACCGTTACCACGCCCGCATGCGCCAGAGCCGCATCAGCGGCACCTGTGCTCTAGGCAATTGGCCTGCTCATCCGCTTCTCGGTCTGCGATTGCTCGAACTCTCAGAACCTTCACGCAAGGTCGTGCTACCGGCTGCTTGTGTGATGGCGGATGCGACTTCCAGCCAGTGGCCTCCGAGCTTCGTGGTTTCTGCCCGGGCATGCCGGAATACAAAGCGGGAGTCTAACTTTCTGGCTTAAGAATGACCGTACGATTCTGCGGGCGCAGTGAGGGTGGAGCGGGGCAACAATGTCGTAACGGACGGTCATTCTGCGCATTAGATCACCGGCGTTTGACGGCGGTTGTTTCTATGACCCTCGGCATTCACAGCTCGAAGCCGGGCGCAGGCGCGGTGATGGGATAGGCCTATGGCCTCCTACCACGACGGAGAGGAAGAAAAGGAGTGGGAATGCGAGGGGTCGGTTCCTGGATAAAGAGTCGGCTTCCTGCGTCATTTGCTCCCGATGGCGCCCAAGGAGAAGATTGGTCAGTGATGTTGATGAAGTGGGTAGATCCTGAGGCAAGGTCATCGTGTCTCTGGATGAGATGCCGCGATATGGGCGGCGGGCCGTGCATCGAAGGCATGGTTGGCATCGATGGCTTCATCTGTATATGGGCACGAACCAGACAGCGTTGAGACAGGAGGAAGCGTAAGGTTGAGTCTTTCTGCCGCGCTGTGTGAGCGTTCAATCTTGAAGCTAGAGCAAGACAATTTCCGTCTATTATGGCAGCGCTGATTGCGGTCCAGGATATGATGTGCGATGAGGCTGCGCTGATGCGTGATTGAATGGGCCATGCCGGGGAGCGGTCAGCGGTTCTCGTGGGAAGCGGTGGCTGGATACAGGGACACGCCCACGTGAGTGAGTGCTACGGTGTCTGTGACCTGCATCCTCGCCGTGCTGGATGTATTCCGAACCCGGAGCGTGCGTGCATTTGTCCGTCAGATTAGCTGGAGGGGCTTGAATATTCGCGCACAAACTGCGTTAACGCCTTCCCTGCCCGCCCTCAATTAGCAACCGACATGGAACGCTCCCAGCCTCCTCGGGTCGTCTCCCTGTCTCTCTCCTTCAAGCAGGGTTCGCGCGCACGTCGTCCCCCACCCCTCTCCTTCCCCTCGCTCCTTGCTTTCTTCTCCGCCAGATCCCATTCTGCTCTACGCATTCGCGCCGTCCCATATAACCCAGTGCCTTGAGCAAGGCCGGGACGCTGAGCGTGTGTGCAGCAGTCATGAGCGCCGAGCAACTCTCTCCCGCGCAGCTCGCCACAGCTGCCGAACATCTGTGAGTGCTACAGCTCGCGCAGCTCACTGGACATCGGCATGTATTGCTAGATCGTCGCAGCGCTGCGCTCTGTACTTCCGCACAAACTCAATCGCTCATCGTCCTATTCTGCTCCGTAGGATCGCCGCGAAGATGTTCTCTCTCGCCTCGTGCGGTGCGTATCCGCGAGTCGAGCGCGTCCTCCTGCGTTTAGAGGACGCGACGACGTCTGAGACATGAGAGCACCTACTGAATGTTGGACGCATCCTCGCAGTCATGCTCTTCTACGATATCGCCATCACCTTTGGCGATGAAGTAGAGAAGATCTGGAAGCAGCGCTTCACCGGTGCCACAGTCCTTTGGTTCCTCGTAAGTGTTTGCTCCCAGTTAGCCATCGCGCTCGGCGCGTCGACGCGCCTAAGTCTAACTGCTTGTGGTCGACGCTAGAATCGCTACCTCTCGCCTCTGGGCTACATCGTCATAATCGTTTGTACGTAACAGCGGTGGGGTACGAACCTCTGCCCGCCCCTTCCATTCATCTGCTCTGCCCCGTGTTCAACATCGGTGCTCTGTGTGTGGTTGTATAGCGTTCCATGATCCTTCATGGTCCAAGGCAGCGTGCCAACGATACGTCCTATATCCGGAAGTGCTCAAGATCTTCACCGCCACCGCGGTCGGAAGTACGTGCGCCGTTTTCCTCAACCTTAGTCGGCGTTGTCCTCATAGGGCCGCAGTTATCTTCATACTACGACTATACTCCATATACTCTAAAAGAAATATTATCCTGTATGGATTCGGTACCCTCCTCGTAGCGGAGCTCGCCGTCAAAATCGTGAGTTCGCCAGCTTCCTCTTGCCTAGGGCTCTGCTAACAGCGCATTCGCGACAGTGGGCGTTCACGGACGGGACTATGTTGCAACTCCCGCCAGGTGGGACGAGAGCGATTTTCCCGTTTCCCTTAGTCGTCACTCATCATGCGATCCGTCGCCAGGCTTTGTTGGCTGCATACTCACAGGACGCTCCTCGCCGTGAGTATTGATGCGGCCGAGGAACATTCCCTCCCTGCCGCTCGGGCATTTTTGATTTGGCCCGTGCTGACGTGTTTTTGCTCGCCAGTGGCGATCGCATAATCTATACTTGGGTGGCAGAGCTGGTCTTCGGTATGCGCGGACATCATGACTTCGGGTTCCCATCGTTATTTTGACCGTGGTATGCTCTAGACTCGGTCGTCTTCTTCGCAACGCTGTATCGCACGATCACGCTCTACAGACGTACGCTCATCGGCGAAGCGTTGTCGCTCATCACAATCATCATGCGCGACGGTATGTGCTTCGCACGGCATCAATTGCGGCTTCATGTTTGCCTAAGGAAGTGCGCGTATTGATTGCGAGTCCTTATAGGCATCATGTACTTCGCCGCGATCTTCGTCTCGAATCTAGTCACCGTCCTGATCTTCATTGTAAGCCGCTCTCGCGCCCTCTCTGTATCGTCTCATCCCGCTGACATGCTTTCCTCTTTTAGTTTGCTCCGGTGAGTACGCGGTCCTGAGACCGCGCGTGGTGGAGACTGATGCGCGGCATGCCCTGCTGACGCTCTTAGCAGCCCGACCTGAAGGTCATCAATGCCTCGTTCAGCACTTTGTACGTCCCTCGCTGACCTCTTCAGGGTTTGCATAGCGTCATCCATCAGATTCTGACCATCTCGTGTTCACAGGATTACAAGCCTCATGGTCTCCCGGCTCATGCTCAACCTTCGTGCAGAGGTCCTGAAACGCGGACCCGTCATTCGCAGCGTTGGACGCGGTGCCGGCGTGGAGGAGTCTTACCAGCTCACAGTGACGACCCCGGGTGACACATCCCGCAAGGCGACCTTCGAGTCGAGCATCATTGGCAATCTCGGCGCGCCGGTCATCACGTTCGAACGCGTGGGCTACGAACACGAGTACGACTTATACGGGGACGAAGATGACGACATCGCCGACGGTGACTCGCTCGACAAGCCGTCTGGGCGCGGAGATGGACGTGAGAACGACACTGAACGAAGCGGATCCCTCACGGAGTTTGGCGTCAGAGACCT